CCAAATCTCATGGCTTCTGTGTCTGTCTCTGGAGCCTAATCCTGCATTTACTAAGGGTTAGTTACAGAATTGAACTTTTATTGTCAGTGTTGATCTGATCATGAACTCCCATGTTAGCTAGTCCCCCTCTCAATCATTGCCCAGATTGTTTTTTCCGCTTTTCAAAAACCAGTTTCAGTTGATAAGCATCCTTGGTTTAGTGCTCATCTACATAAAATCTTAGTAAAAGTAATACAGGCAAGTCTTTTTTTACTGGTAAAAGCCAATCTTGTCTGTAGTGCTCTTGAAAAAAGTCATACAAGAGGGCTTTCCTTTAAATAATACTCCAATGATTTTCAAGGACCTTATCCAAGATGTTTTCCAGGATTTAACATCACCATGCGGCACAGTGTGCATATCCCAAAGATGCAGCCGAGGGAAAGAATACAAGGGGATGCAGAACTGCCATCCTTTTTGTTTGAGTACATGTTCATACGACTCTTCAGAAAATGGGTTGGCACTAGGCTATTTTATGCAAGCAGTGTACTTACCGCCTGCATATCAAACAAACTAAGCATAATGCGAAAAAAGGACACCTGCTGTAGAGAAATAAATGTCTTGCCAAGAGGGAAAAACAAGTTGTTAGCTCTTAATCCTGTAAGTATTTCAGAGTACAAAGTGAAAGGATGATGATCTGCTTATTAGACTTCTGATAACATCCAGCTGTTTTCTGAAGAGTCAGCTGTACCTGTCTGCCCTGGCAGGGCATCTGACCCACTGGATTTAGAAGCTTGGAAACTATGAAGTGATAATATTATTAAAAATACTGCATATGAAAGTAGCAGTAAAGGACAAGGCAGATTAAGTCTCTGCAAGAGTTTTACCTCTGACAGAAACTTTTCTCTTGAGTTTCCAGGCTTAGTATGTAAATGGCAGGAAGTTTGTTTTTCAGTGGGAGCTCTCAAAGCACTCGTAGGGTCATAAGGAAAAGCAGCCTAGAACTAGTCACACTTCATTAGCAGTTCCAGTTCACTACAAACCTGCTTCTTGTTCCAGCAGATTGAAACACAGCAGCCCGGCATAGCTCACTGCTCCTGTCATTTGTAAATCAGGAGCGCTGGCTCGGCAGAGTCAGCTTTAAATCCCAGTAACCCGAGTTCACAGAACAAGGGCAACTCTCGCCAAAATGGCTGGGCTGTCTAGTTTGCAGCAGTGGCCTCAGCAAATGACACAAGGATGCTGGGGACACTTGGGTGCCAGTGGAAAGTTGCAATTTTCTGGTCCTTCACCACTCTTCCCAGCTGCTTCTGTTGTGTCCACCCCAGTTGGGTGCATCCTTCACTATGTGTAGGAAAGAGTCAGTGGGAACTTGGAGCATGTGTTTTACCTGATGAATTAACCAATCAGCCATGTTTGCCCTGTTCTAGGAGAAGGCATAAAAACATGACTTGGAGTGCTTGGAGTAACAGAGACACAGCAGCTGAGGCCATGGTCATGAGTGATTATGTTCAGTACATGCAAACAGAGGAAGCAGGTCACACAACTAGGTTACTGGTGTCTGTTAGTGGTTCAGACCCAAAGCAGTCTGGGCTGCCTAGAAAGATAAAAATGAGGCTTTAGTTATATGGCCTTCCTTAACAGGTTTGAGCTGAAGATGCAGAACCTTGGATATGGCTCCGAAGTTTAGCGACATTTGAGTTCAGCATTTGATTTCAAGAGACATTACTTAGAGCCTTCAGCCTTAAAGTTCTGGTCTGGATGCAAAACCACGTCTATATTTTGGATCCATCTATGCGTTTGGGTCCTCTCTGATTCCTTCTAATCCTCACATGGTGGAGTAGAGGTATCTACAACAAACTCAGCAATGTAAGAGATTTTTCTGTGGGAAGTAGAAAACCACACCACACCACCCTTCAAAAAAACCCCTCATTTATACCTGACTTTTGCCATGTGGGAATTTGGAAGGGAAGTTTGTTGTAGACCATGATTCCAGCGACAGTGTTCTCTTGTTACTAGTGAAAACTCTTATGTTTCCATCCAGAAGCATATTCGTGCTTTCCAGTAACATCATAAACCAGGTGCTAGAGATAATACAGTAGAGGAAATACCAATGACTTGACATATGGCATGTTTAACAATCCACCACTGAAATTATTCACATAAGTTTGAAATGGGAATGTGTCACAGTAGAAAAGCCTGTATTCCACTCTCTTCCCTTCTGCTGGCTACCAGACATTTTATTTCACATTGGTGTGAGATCCTGTAACATGAAGGTATTTCCTGGGGAAAGTAAGCATGTATAAATGGGACAGAGAAGCTTTGCAAAAAATATCTGTGACATCACAGATGTCTGGCTGTGAGAGAACTGTTCAGATTTTTCTGTAAAAAAAAAAAGTCTCTTTTCTTTGATGACAGGCTAGTCAGGTTTGTGTTTGGCTAAGGCTGGGATCCTAGATGTGTTTTTACCTGATAAACTGGTGATACTTCTGAAAAGGGCAGCTCCCTCCTGCCCCCATCTACAGCTGCTTGTTCATGCTGGCTTGTTTGTGTGTATGTGACAAGACAGCTGAGGACCAAATCCAGTTGAAGGACCAAAATCCAGTTTTTGATGAAGTTACTCTTCAGTTGAATGAATTCCCTGATCAATCCTATGACCAGAACAGCAGCATCAACCCAGGGGCGGAGGCGAGGGAGAGCCAGGCTGCCTGTTTCAGCAAGCGCAGATTTTGTTGACCAGAATTGACTGTGCAGTCACAACTCGAGGCAGACTTATGCTGCCTCTTCCACAGCTGAAACCCCTTCTCATCTCAGACACTGCCTGAAAAGACAAAAGGCTGACGCTCTGGTACCCAAGGAAGTGGTACAAACACTGGGAAACGCAATTTAGGAATCACTTTAAATCTACTGCAGTTTTCAAAATCAGTTATTTTGAAACTGCTGTGGGAAGGGGGCATTGTATACTCAGTAGTTTGTATCATCCCATAAATAATTATATTGATGACAGGTATTTAATTTATTAATTTTTCTTATGTAGTTGCCCCATTTTGTCTACTGTGTGGGATCAGTAGATCTACTGATCCCAAGTAGAGGGTGCCTTAAAACACAGTGCAAGAATTTTTACTTTTGTTTTGTTTTGGTTTTGCAGCACTTCACATCACAGTAAAGAGTACAGGCTTGAACATTCTCTCTGGTATCAAATCTTTGACTGTTACTCACTTTTTTAGCCTCAGCTGCTGTAATTTCCCATCCAAACACAGGAAATCATTGATTTAGTTCGCAAGAAAAAAAATGCTTTGCTTCACTGTTAGGGAAACTTAGCAAGCAAAGAGGCAGTGAAATAACTGCAGCAGAGCCTCTGGGCAGGCTGGGGACCTCCTTTGGAGGTTTTTAAGAACAGGCTGGACAAACATGGGCAAATACATCTGAGCTTGCCTCATGGAGGCATTTGGATTAGGTCACCTCCCAATGTGTCCTCATGCTGTCTGCCAGCCTGTTCGATTCTTCTGCTGTGCACCGTGTGTAGGTCTAACGGTCTACTGTGTGAACATAAGAGCAGGGGGAAAGAGCAGAAAAGGGTTTTCTGTTACCTGACAGGGGGTAAGTGTTTCTGATAACATACTTGGGGGGTCAGCATCCTCCCAAAGGGGGCGTGGGCTCTGGGGGAGGAGCACGGAGAGGCTGGCGGTGCTTCTGGGCTGAACGCTTCTTCAGCCAAGGAGCGCAGTCATCCCACTACAGCTGGACAGTGCAACCATGCTGAAGCAGGGCTAGTTTTGTAAGTGTGAGAGCAGAAGGTGATCAGGAGGAAGCTTAAAGGTACAGAGAACAGCTGACAGAAGAGTTAAACATAGTTTAAAATCCTCTTTTTCTGGAGACACAAACATCTTTTCTAGAATAATGACACGCAGTTGTAATAATGTACAAGTTACAGCCATGCCCAGCAATTACTTCCAGTATAAGCAGGAAAAGCAGGTGAAGAACAAAGCAACAAATACATCACCACCACAATAAGCAGCATGGCTACACACTCAACTGCCTGTACTCCGCTGTGTACTTAAGTCATTTATTTCAAAAAACAAGCAGACTTTATCAGCTTTTACTCCCTTTGCTTAAAACAATAGCTGTAGGTCAGCCAGGACCTGTATGACTTGAGACCACAGTGTCTGTTTGTTTCTGTGTCCAACAACATCCAGAGAGGAATGCTGGAACTTGGACTTTGTTGGTCGAAGCTGTACTTGGGTTACAAGCTTTCCAGCTCCTGCTAATCAGGAATTTCCAGAAACAGAGTATTAATAAGCAAAAAGGAAGGGTCAAACAGCAAACAGTAAGATGACAAAAGATAGAGGCTATACTCTTGAAGCTTTGCGCCAATGCTTTACTTCAAAGTGTAACAGGAGAGGGCAGAAAAAAAAACCCACTAACTTTGCAGTTTATCTTAGTGTGGGCATGCAAATATTACTTTTCGTTGGTTAGAGGAAGAGACAGTGGAAGTGAGTGAGAGAAAGAAATAGAGGGTTCTGCTTTTAAGAGGAAGGCACCTTTATAACCCCAAGTATACTAGGGAGCAAAAACTATTGTGGAAATAATAGTACAATTTAATTCTATTTAAATTATAAAATTTTAAAACATCATGTCATAACTTCAACAATAATAATGTTAACAAGGATTTGTATCTATTTTTTAAGAACTCAAGGCAGATTAAAAGTTTGAAAATGCCCAAGTGTCCTTTTTAATGCTCTATTTACCCATTCAGTCCAAAATGCAAAACTTAACTCAGCTTAAACCCCTGAATCTCACATTTTAGAAAGCCAGTCACTTCATACTCCATGTGCACCGTAGGACCTGATCAGTTCTATGATTTGTTCATGTTTTTCTTTACGCTTTACAAATAAGAAGCCAGATAGCAACAGCTACAGCTATTTTTCCTGGCAAAGAAAACAAAAACATTATATAAATGTTTATGGTCAAATCACATTATAATAATGTTTTCCAGATGAATATATGTATTTTTAGAGATACTAATGAATCTTTATTATTTGCTTCCCTGTAGAATTTCGTATGATCCCACAAGATATCCTAAATACATTCCTGAAGCATATTGTCTGTGCAAAGGCTGCCTCATGGGGATCTTTGGAGAGGAAAATTTTCACTTCCGCAGCACCCCTGTGTACATGCCAACAGTCATCCTCCGTCGCACGTCCTCATGTGCTGGGGGCCGTTACGTCTACACAGAAGATTACGTCACTATCCCAGTGGGCTGCACTTGTGTACCTGAGCAAGAAAAAGAGGCCGAAAGCGTCAATTCCAGCATAGATAAGCAAGAAATGAAGCTGCTGGTAAGCCAGAACAAGCCGTCATCAGAATGAAGAATATATAGAGTCCTGTTACAGTATGGGCTTCCCATCATCATTTCACCACCTCAGGAAACAAACACATTGATTTACCCTCTTTTTCTACTTACTGTTAATTCAGTTATAAGATGGAAGGTTTTGTTCAGTCACTCAGATCATTAGAGAAGACAATTCATATTAAGAACTTTAGTTCATGTAAGTATTTGTTGAAAATTCCAGGGTAGCTTTTTTTTTTTTTTTCTTAGAGCAGAACATTTTATCCTTGCTTATTCTCAGTAAATTTTAGAAGGTGATGCAACTGTAAGACATGCTAGCTATTACTATAGCAGACTACTGGTTGTAGATATTTTTAAGGAATCTCTTATATTCTACTTTTAAATACTCCTATATAAAAATCACATAGCTGCCACACGTGTGCCAAATCAGCAGTTAAAAGGATCGTTTCTCAGGCTGGGAGAGCCTTCCTTTGTATTGCTCCAATATGCAAAATATGCACAGCTCCAAGCAGTAATCTTGGCTGTTACATCTTTGGCTAGTTACATCTTTGGCTAGTTACACACTACAGCAAGAAAACCTTTGCTGAGTTTGAGCCATTCATGAAACAATATTCTATGAATTTGCTATTTTTAAACTTACCAAATTGCTAAGGGTACAGAAGGTGAGAAAAAGCATGCCAGAATATTGTAAAACTGCAGTGGACTTTTCTGACGGGGACTAAGTCTCATTACACAGACAATATCAATTAGAAAAAACACAGATTGGGTCCCAAGAATTCTGTATTTGATTTCATTCATCATTAACCACGTAACTGTTTCTTGTGACAAAACTGCATTCTGTACAGTTGGAAGGCCAAAACCTTTTTCATGTTAGGAGAGGTGATTCCCCATTAAAAAAAAATAAGTACGAAGGATCGGCTTCATTTCAGGTACACTGCAGATGAGTAAACAGGCTAGGTCTTAACTTCAAGATGCTACAGAGGTCATTGAGGTGAGTCCCAGCCAGTCCAAACTTGTTAAATCCAACTGATTTCTACAATTAGCGTTACTCATTTTTCCCTATGCTACATGTAGCAGACAATCACCTGCAAAAGATGTTAGTTTGTGGAAGAGCAGTCTTCCATCTTTGCAGCTTACAGGAACTTGATGGCAAGCCCTAACCAGAAACCATAGATACACAAAAACTTGCATTTCCAGAACAAGAGATTGAAGGTTGAGTCTAGCAAATGAGAATCACAGGCGTGCCTTGCATGAACATGACTCCTCAAAGGGCCACAATCACCAAAGTTGATAAATCTCTAAAGGCACAGCAGAGAGTATTTTTCTACAGTTGAAGGATCGTAACTGCAATATTGTTACAAAAAAAGAATAAACACCATATGCAGCAATGTATTTGCTGCATCAAGAATCTCAAAATTTGGCTTAATTCATAGCGGAGGAAGTCCCCGCGCATACATACATATGCTCCTTTGGAGTGTCACTGGATGAAGAATGGAAAGACTATGAGCTAACCAGAATTAACAAGTTAGAGAATGAAAATCATATGACAACTCCTTGTCTTGGTGCATAATTATTGACTGTGCTCTTTATGACTCAGTCTAGGGTAACAGTATTTTTATACTGCAATCTGTATAGCTTCTTACAAAGCCTAAACCAACTTTAAGAACTCCAGAAACCAATACAAGATTCCCATCACAACGTCAGATTGAAGTTTATAACTGTGTTTCTTGTGGAGAGGATTTTCCACAGTTCTACTTGTCTTTGGATCTGTGTTTCCTCAAATTGGGATGCTTCTGTCTCAAGGGTATTCTCAAAGGAAAGTTCAAAGAAGGTCATAAAGTGTTTACACTACTCAGAGAACAGCTAATTGCCTAGCTGCTGCCAGCAATTAAAGGTAGTTACCTGCTCCCTGGAGAATGTAAATACTCGCAGCAATTACATCCACTTTTCCTTCCTCCTAATGTGGAAGAACTTCTCACCCTCTAAGAGGGAGAGGGTAATCAAAGGCAGAGAGGCTCAGAAGGGAAGCAGACCCACAAAACTGGAGAAATACTGCATTAGATGATGCTTCAGCAGTCTAACTTCTTATGGTTTCACTATTAAATTGTGGGGGTTTTCTCCACACGCACACTTCAGACAGGGTGAAGTTGGACATAGAAACTTCAACATAGAAAGCAAAGTCTTCACAGTAAAAGGAAGTAAAAACCCAAACAGCAACAAAAAAAAATGCCAAATCACCCAGCCCAGAAGGGCTACCAGCTAAAGCTCTGGCTAAACACTACCCTCCAGCAAAACTCATCTGTCTGCCCACACACTTTTGTTATACAAAATTGTCTGCAACAAATTAGTTACTAGAGCACATGGATTTATTTGCATGATGTGGAGAAAGAAAAAAATCTCAATATTTCTTGCAACTCTGTTGTCCTGCAGACATAAATTATGGAGTCATTTTGAGGTTTTTCAAGTAATGAGCATGTTCTGGGAATTCTTGGGAGTCACAGGCTAAGACCAGGTAAATGGAACATTATCAGTTTTGCCAATCCAGAACAGATGCTTTAGCTTACATGTAGCTTCAGGAATTGGATGACTGAAAGGAAAGTACTAGGGAACTGCAAAATCCCACTGGATCAATAGATTATGTATGTTGGCGACCTCCTGTTCATCATACTGCAAGTGCAGAAAGCTTCCTGGTTACGAGCAACCTCATCTTACTCAGAAGCCCATTTTCCTTTTTAATCCTCACCTTCTTCTGTGGGAGACTTTTTAGCTGAGCCAATTTGCTTCCCGATCCAGCTTTCCAGTTAGGTGTCTCTTAAAAGCTGTGCTTATGTTTTAACATGAGCAACTGTTTGATAATAATTTGTTAGTGAACAACTGTTCGTTAATACTTAACATCAAGAATTATTAGCTACACAAACATTTGTTAACCTTCGAAATGTCCTTCCATATATAAACCCTCTCCACATTACTCATGTGGAAAAGGTTGAGTACTAAATGTAGTTTGTGTTTGTTTGGATTTTTTTTTTTTTTTAAAGAGATCATCACATTATGGATTTATATTGGTTTCACTTCAACTGTGGTGTGACATTTTCCAGCTTCTAGCCCTCTGGTTCCAGCTGCTGCAGCCTTGCCTTTCATTTGCATGTGGGGAGGGAGGGTTCATTGGAGTTGCTTCAAGGCTTCACAAACTGTTGACAAAAGGCAGACATGAAATGCCTCATTGAACCAACTCCAGGCCCAGTAAATGCAAACAATTCAAAGCTGAAACTATCTGGCAGCTGCAGCTGATTTGAGAAAATTTTTGTTGTGCCAGGAAAATCTATTCCTTCAATGAGTTGTCCCTGGAATGCATTAGGAGCCACAAAACACAGAACAATATCCTTGGAAAAGAGATTATTTTCTTCTCTGTAGTATCACTTAAGATAGGTTGGAAAATCTGCATCATTCAGGAAGGCTGAGGACAGCCCGAGATGCTAGTTGTGCTTTACTAGCCAGTCATTACATGAAGGTGTTTGGCTGAATAGGCGGCAGTCTACAGCTGCAAGTGAACATGAAATCGCAGGGGGGGGAACGTGGACCTGAAAGCAGCAAGGAGAAAAGGGCAGAAGGCTGTGATGTGCTCAGAAAGTACAAACACCCTTAATCTCGCTGGGGTTAGAGAACAGCCATAACCACCTTGACTGAGGCACATGAGGGAGATCTAGTCAGTCCTGCATGTTTTGCCAAGTAGTGCATGAGCTACCACTTGTTTTTGCCGTGCTCCCGTCTAAGGAGGCTGCAGACCCCGAGCAGACCCAGAGCAGCAGCACAGCTCTGACACCGGCTGACGAGGGGATTCAGCAACCCGAACCCAGCTGCCGTGTTTCCCACCTGGCTGCATGGCACTGGGGCTGTGCGGGGCAGGTAACCAAGGGAGAGTGACAGAAGCAACCGTCAGAGATAGTTCCCGCTTGCTGTGGGCAGAGGGGTGAAGTCGATTGTGTGGGACAGAGATGGGCTAACTGGGCAACATGGAGCTGAAAGCAGCACCGTTTTTAATGGGAAGTGCAGACTGGATCTTAGTGGAAGCAGTGCCTTGGACTTCATGCAACAGCATTTCCAGAAATATTTGTTACCTGGGGTGAGCTGCAGTATATTCTCTTCAATCTACAGCCATTGGCCTGTGCACAAGACCCCAGGTTTCCTCTGCCAAGTGTCACATTCACACCGACAGCAGGGGACTGAGACGTCCTGCTGCTGCACAGTACCTGTTACTGCAGCCATGAGGCTGTAGCACATATGACTGCAGTCATAAATGCCACTGGAAAAGTAGCACGGTGATACCACTTCACCACAGTCTGTCCCAACAGAAAGCCCATCCACAAGACATCCCTAGTAAAGAGAGCCAATCTCTACTTGACACTGAAGGTTTTTTTCATAATCCTATTACAGAAAAAAGAAGAGATTTTACTGTCACATAATACTTGTAAATTGCTGCGATGGCACAAAGTACAAATTCACTACAAATTGTGACTGGTAGCCTTCTCAGAAACACAGCTACTTCCTTGGACACAAGCATGACACAAACAGCTTACCTCCTGCCATTGCTGAAGGCTGTGAATGCCACTAGTCAAGCTCTGCTTGGGCAGCTGCCTATGCTCACCAGGCTTTTAAGAGGGAAGCCGGTGGACAACGGGCTGCTCTGTTGAGTGCATCTACACAGATTTACATGTACCCACATTTTCATCTTCACAGTGCCTCTTTTCAAAGCCGTCTGACCTACATGTGCGAAGTAGCCGTTATTTTCTTGGTGAACTGAATTTCTTGGCACAACTGAATGGTTTACTTTCCTTTTTTTAAGAAAGGTCTCTGATGAAGTTAGCAAAGTTGTCTTTTTAGTTCTGATACAGAGCACCCAACAATACACTTTTACCAGAACGAAGCAGACAGTGGAAGCAAAGCAGCAACATAGGTGAGGCTTGTATTTGAACAGCACTTTCTAATTTAAGTGGTTGGCGGGGGAAGAACATCATCCCTTCT